CAACCTATTCAAATAATATTGTATCGTAATATATTTATTATAAATTATATTTTGTATTTATTTAAATCTGTTGACAATTATATTTTGAATACATTACAAAATATTGTAAGTGTACTTTTAATCTATTCCAAAATAACGTAGATATATTTTAAATGTATTATGAAATATCATAAACCTTCTTCAAATGTACTGAAAAATATCATAAATATATCTTAAATATATTTTAGATAAATTGTGAAACATTATAAATATATATCTTAAATACACATTATAAATACACTCTAAAATATTACAATTTAGTTTTAAAATTATACAATTTACTATTACAATTTAACTCGCGTTCGTACAATCACAATTACAATTACAACATTCCTCACAGTATACACATAATACACACGTTTTGCTCGCATTATAATTACGAGCGTGTTGCTGCACGTGCGCGACACTAGTCACAGTATATCAGTCCGGCGTTATTTAATTACCTGAACGCGGGGCGGACCGGTATTTCTCGAGTAATTTCGCCGCGCCGGTTTCTCGCGGCGGGATCGCTCCGGCGCGGCGCCCCGATAAGAAACGTAAACATCTTTTCTTGTCCGCGGGATCGATTCCCGCGTTACGTCACGTCCGTTTCAGACGGACGCCGCGGCGGTACGTGTTGATTTATCGGCGGTTTTTCGCCGGCCGAACGAACCGTTGCCGCCGCCGACTTTCATTTCCACCTTTATTCCGGACGATTATCTTGTCGGCAGGAAAATATCTGTTCCGTCATCCTGACAGACAGCGGCTGCGCGCGCGCGCGTGGCCTCGGTACAGCAATTTCGTTTGAACGGACAAAGTCGAAAGTCCGGCGATATAATGTCTTCTTTCCAGCGCGGTCAACAATGTTGCCCGGTAGCATGTTTCTTTTCTCTCTCGGTTATGGTTGTTCCCGAGACGTGATACGGTCGAAGCCGCGCGGCCCGCGTTCAGGTCAGACGAGCTATCCCTCCAGTATCTGTACTTTCTTCGGCTTCATTATACGGTCCGCCTGTCTTCTCGGCGTCGTGCGCCGACCATCTCATTTTCCGTTGATCCATCAGGCTAATGGGGACCATGCGGCTCGAACTGCGCGCTACGCGGTTCTAATTATAGAGAGTGATTCAGGAACGAGAGCCGCGGCGAGCCGCGCCGGACGAACGCGGCGAGCGCGTTCCGTGAATATTTCTCGCGATCTACAACTTCATTCCGCGAAATTTATCGGCCGGCGATTGCAGCCTCGCTCGCCTCGATCTTTCTCCTCGATTGATATTTCCTTTGCAACACCTGTTCCACCTGTCCGCGAACGATTTAATCAATTCTCCGACCGAGATGTGATTTCTACGATGACTCCGCGCTACCGAACAATTTCAACGAGTGGCAAAGGGAATTATAACATTCCTGAACGTTTCAATCGAGCCGCGGTAATCTCGGACACACGGCGGATCGACGTGAATGGCTTGGTGCTTCCGATTAACACCGTTCCACAGAGTGCCCCGAGAATATCGACGGAGATGATTCTCGAGGCGATTTGGAACAACTTTTTCCTTTGCGAAATTCTTCTACGAGGCTCCGTTGAGGAATTATCAACGAGAAACGAAGAGCCAATCGGAGAGCCAGTGCTGCGGCGAGTGGGCGGCGAGACGGCGCGCGCGACGAACCACCGGCCGCCGGGCGGGGCGTCTTCGATTAGTCCGCGTTTTTCTTGAATAACTCGTTAACGGAGACTCGTAGAACATTTCTGCAAAGACAAAAGTTGCTTCAAATCTCCTCAGGAATCATTTTCTTCAAGTGTTTATCTTCAAACATCATGTACAGTAATAACATGCACCTCGAATTTTATACATTTATTACAAAAGTGTGCGGCTAAAATGTGCTGAAATATAGAATGATTTCCACCGTACTGAAGATCATTGTCTTCTTCGTTACAGATGTGGCTACCGATCAAACGGCGGCGTCGTCCTTCTGGACGCCCACCCTGAAGACAGGGAACATCTTCACCGACGACACATCGAACTTCTTCCCGTCTAGCCACGGTCTGGTGCAAACTCATCCGTCTGGCAACGTGTTCCGAAGCGGTTTCGGCGGTATCGACAACCTCGGTAGCAGAGGCGTGACCGTCAGACCGCCGAGAACGAGACCCCTCGACTACAGCGAACGGGCCACCGCCGAATTACGTCGGAATCCGTCGCTTTCTTCGCCAGATGAATGCGCGAGAGCTTGCCGGGAAAACGAGCCTCCCAGGATATGCTACTATCACTTCACCCTCGAATATTATACCGTGCTCGGAGCGTAAGTGTCCCCCTTTCTGATCCGCTCTTGACATAGTGGCTAGTCTCGGGTTTATTGATCACAGTCCCTTAGGGTATTTCATCGAAATTGCGAGGACTTAGCTATGCAACCATGGGGTTGCTGGTGAAATTTCGATTTGAACGAAGATGTAGTCTTGGAATTTTTTAGGATTGGGTTTGAAGAGGTAGACTTAGCATTTTTTAGAATTAAGGACTATTGTCATAAACTAAGCTGTTTTTAGAATACAGTCTGAAGATGTAGTCATGGCATTTTTTAGGATTAATTTTATTGACATAATATTGACAATTTTGACAGCTAGGTCTGTTGACATAAACTTGTCCTTTTTTACGATTAAATCTGTCGACATAATCTGAGCAATTTTTAGGATCGAGTATATTGACATAATCCAACCACTGTTTAGGATTAACATTGTTGATGTAACCTCAGCAATTTTGAAGAATAAGTCAGTTGACATAACCTCAACATTTTTCAGGATCAAGTCTGTTGACATAATGTTAGCATCTTGCAGGATTTAATCTGTTGACATAACCTTAGCGTTTTCTAGAATTATGTCTGAAAACGTAGCATTCGCACTTTTTAAGATCAAATCTGTTGGCATAACCTAAGCACTGTTTAGGATTAATTCTGCTATCATAACCCCAGCAATTTTGAAGAATAAGTCAGTTGACATAACCCCAACATTTTCCAGGATCAAGTCTGTTGACATAATCTTAGCCTCTTGCAGGATTTAATCTGTTGACATAACCTTAGCGTTTTTTTAGAATTATGTCTGAAAACGTAGCTTTCGCACTTTTTAAGATCAAATCTGTTGGCATAACCTAAGTACTGTTTAGGATTAATTCTGCTATCATAACCTCAGCAATTTTGAAGAATAAGTGTGTTGACATAATCTTATCATCTTTTAGGATCAAATATATTGACATAACCTCAGTATTTTTTAAGATCCAGACTGTTGACATAACCTTATTATTTTTTTGGATTCAGTCAGCATAACCTTATCATCGTTTAGAATCAAGTCTCTCGACATAATCTAAGCACTTTTTAGGATTCCGTATGTTGACATAACCTAAGCACTTTTTAGGACTGAGACTGTTGACATAACTTAAGCACTTTTTAGGACTGAGACTGTTGACATAACCTAAGCACTTTTTGGGACTCAGTTAATTCACCCAAGCACTGTTCAGAATTAACTCTATTGACATAACCTCGTCAATTTTAAAGAATCAGTCCGCTGACATAACCTTCTCATCTTTTAGGATCGAGCCCGTCGTCATAACCTCATCATTTTTTAAGATCAAGTCAGTTGACATAACCTATGCATCTTTCAAAATCGACCCTGTCGACCTAAACATAGCCTTTTCTAAGATTAACTCCTATGATTAACTCCATAAACCCATCGTTCTCGCGGACGCCCTAAGACGACTGAACCTGAAACATGCATTATCCGTTCGACCTTGGTCCACAGCGCGTGCCAAATTTGCACCCCTAACGCGACCAACGTGGTCTGGAGCGACTGTCAGTGCGTGCTGGCTGACGGTGTCGAGCGTGGTATCCTGACAGCGAACAGGATGGTGCCGGGGCCTAGCATCCAAGTATGCCAGGGTGACAAGGTCGTGATCGACGTGGAGAACCACATCGAAGGTATGGACGTGACCATCCATTGGCACGGGGTGTGGCAGAGGGGGTCCCAGTACTACGACGGCGTGCCTTTCGTCACGCAGTGCCCCATCCAAGAGGGCAGCACCTTCAGGTAACCAAATCTGTCCTAATAAAGTCGTCACTGACGTAATACAGCAAATGGGCCCTACTGTCCCTGCACACCCCCACGCCGCAGCTCGATGCATTGGCGTAGGTCGATATAAAAATTGTCTCTGCTCTGATCGGCCGACGATTCATCGTCAAGATAGGGCCCCCTGCGCCTTCGATGCGCGATAAAATGGCGGCGACACGCGCGCCGCTTTAGGGACTAAGAGGAGCGTGTGCAGGGCGCTGTGGGCCCCATTACTGTGGTTGACACAAGTGCTCAAACGCGAGTATCATTGGATGCCAGGTACCAATGGATGGCCAACAACGAAGGCACGCATTTCTGGCACGCGCACACCGGCCTGCAGAAGATCGACGGCCTCTACGGGAGCATTGTAATACGACAGCCGCCGAGCAAGGACCCCAACAGCCAGCTGTACGACTACGACCTGACCACCCACGTCGTGCTGCTCAGCGATTGGTTCCACGAAACTGCCGCGGAACGGTTCCCCGGTCGCCTTGCAGTCAACACTGGCCAAGCACCCGAGAGCGTGCTCATCAACGGGAAAGGACAGTTTAGGGTACGTGCTGAAACCTGTGGCTGTAACTCAGCTTCATTCGTCAGCTTCATTTTACAGTGTCGTTGGTCCTTGACTCCCGAAATTGCAGTATAATTTGCGTAAAAAGCTGAGATGGGGCATAGAAGTGGACGCTTTGGGGAAGGGGGGATACGATTATTAGAGGCTCGTGGCTCGTTTTTATGGTTGTTGACGATCGGCGACTATGAAGACGAGCCGCCAGCTTCGAAGAATAGCGATTTAGGTTCTTATAATTGCCGGTTGCAATTTTGACTTAGCGTCACTTAGGGAGACATTGTTATTATTAAGTTCTTCCTAATTTTCTCTCAGTTTAAAAAAAAATGGACAATTTGGGAAGAGGAGATGCGATAATTTGAGCTTATCAGCTCGTTTTTATAGCTATCGATTGTAAATAACTATAAAAACGAGGCTCGGAATAATAGTGTCTGCTATTCCCGAACTGTCCACTTTGGTTTCCAAGCTGAGCGTCAGTTAGGGAGTACTTACTGTGCACAGAGGAAAGAACACATCTCTGATTTCAATGATCTTGAATTAGGCCTTCATTGGCTTTCGCCTATCCCTGGCCTGGACCTACTCATTTTGGTCCAGATTAAATATAGATTGGGCTTGTGATATACAGGGTGTCCCAAAATTATGATACTTCCGGGAAATGAGAGGTTCCTGAGGTTATTTCAAGTAACTTTTTCCTTTGCAAAAATTCTCTCCGAAGCCTCGTTGACGAGTTATTAACGAAAAATACTGACCAATGAGAGGCGAGCTCGGGCAGCGCGAGGCAGCGGAGCCAATCAGCGGAACTGGGCTTCGGCTGCTCGTTGGCTCGGTCGCCGCGCGCCAGCCGAGTTCGCCTCTCATTGGTCAGCGTTCTTCGTTAATAACTCGTAAACGAAGCCTTGTAGAACATTTTCGCAAAGGAAAAAGTTACTTCAAATGAGCTCAGGAACCCCCATTTCCCTTAAGCATCAAAATTTTGAGACACCCTGTGTAATAAATTCTCCCTAATTGACGTTGAGATTGTCCATTTTTGTATACAATCTGAGCATCAATTACGGAGAATTTATCGTACATAAAAAAGGTTATTAAAAATGAAGATCCCAAGGACGCAGTTCGAGGTCATGAAAATCAGTAAGGACAGAGATTCACGAAGATCGTATTTCCGATGCCGCAGGATCCCAACACCGGTTTCATGACGAACACACCCCTGGAGGTCTTCACCATAACGCCCGGCCGCCGTTATCGTTTCCGACTGATCAACTCGTTCGGATCGGTCTGCCCGTCTCAGATCACGGTCGAAGGCCATTCGCTCAGCCTGATCGCGACAGACGGCGAGGCCGTGCAACCGGTCAGCGTGGACACCATTATCTCGTTCTCCGGTGAGTCATTCGTCTTCTTTTAACCGCCGCCATCTTCACCGCACCCCACGATCCCGAGGTTACGCGACAGTTTCTTTCGAAATGTATGACTAATCGTTCCGGATCTCTCGATTGATTCGCCAACGTTCTGTTACGTTAGTAACGGCAATTATTGTAAGTTCTCCCTAATTGACGCTCAGATTGTACACGAAAATGGACAATCTGGGAAGAGGAGATACGATTATTCGAGCCTTGCAATTTATTCATATATTATTTACATTATTTTATTTGTATATTATTTATTTTATTTTATTTCTATATTATTTATATCATTTTATTTTATTCTATTTTATTTCTATATTATTCATATTCTTTTATTTTATTTTATTTCTATATTATTTATATCATTTTATTTTATTCTATTTTATTTCTATATTATTCATATTCTTTTATTTTATTTTATTTCTATATTATTTATATCATTTTATTTTATTCTATTTTATTTCTATATTATTTATATCATTTTATTTTATTTTATTTATATATTATTTATATTATTTATTTTGTTTTATTTATTTCATTTATATATCATCTATTTTATTTTACTTAACGTTATGTCGAATTTTCTGCTCTTCCCGAATTTTCCATTTCTGTGTACAATCTGGGCGTCAATTAGGAAGACATTACAGTATCACTTTGTTCCAACAAAGACTTTCATGTTCGATGATTTTTCAGGCGAACGTTACGACTTCGTGATCAACGCGGATCAGCCCGTCGGCGCGTACTGGATCCAAGTGCGCGCGCTGGGAGAGTGCGGTATTCCCCGTGCGCAACAGCTCGCCATTCTGCGTTATGCGCGCGGACCTTACCAGCCGACCACTACAGCGCCGACGTACGACTTCGGTCTCCCGCAGGGTGTCGTACGTAGAAATATCTGCACCGTATTTTCACCGAGCCTACTTCCACTTTCCCGCCGTTTTTCAGCTACGAAATTCCGAAGGAGTCTGGACATTGAAGCACTTGCGGCGGCAATCTCTAACGCTCGCCACTAGATTGCTACTTCTTCTGCTGCTACCTAATGCGTCAACGAGTCGCATATAGAGGGTGTACCATAAATGTCTCGCGATTTGAAACTGGGGGATTCCTGAGGTCATTTGAAGTAACTTTTTCCTTAGCGAAAATGTTCTACGAGGCTTCGTTTACGAGTTATTCGCGAAAAACGCGGACCAATTAGAGAGCGAGGGCGGAGCGTGGGCGAGCAGGGCGTGGCGCCGTACGTTTTTCATTGATTACTCGTAAACGGAGCCTCGGAGAAAAATTTCGCAAAGGAATAAGTTACTTCAAATGGCCTCAGGAAGTTCTGTTTTCAGATTGCGAGACATTTTGGGACACACTAGATGCCGCCCTTAAGCGTTCTTGTTGGAGCCTCTGAATTAGCGTCCGATGGACACCAATGAGTCATATTAGACTACGAGAGTTCATAGATATTGAATCCTCTGGCGTGGACAGCATCTAGCATCTACTCATGATAAGTTCTTCACTAGGGCCTGCTAGACCCTAATACCTAGGTCTTTCTAGTCTAGTCCTAGGGTCTTTCCAGGCTCTTTCAGATTAGTCCTTTGGCAGGGCTAATAATAAGTGATCTACTAGGGTCTGCTGAGATATTGACAAGTATGTTCGATACAGTCTCGATGATGACAACTCTAGCAGAGACTACTAGATGCTAGTGAGTCCTCTGGCATCGTATATTAAAGTCTAACTGATGTGTCAACTAATGAGCCCTCTACTAGGGTCTGCTAGACACTGTCACGTTCTAACCAGGGTGGTTTATTATATGATCAGTCCTCTAGCATAGTGTGCTACATAATTAGACCTCCAGCAGAGTCTATTGAATAGAGAGTCCTCTACAACGCTCTGCTAACTACTGATGACGACTTCTCTACTAATGTCTCTTATGTACTCAAGAGTCCTCTATGAGGGTCTGTATGATACTGAGTCCTCTTTGGTTGAGTCTGGTGGACAATGAGCCCTTTACTAGGCTCTAGTTCTTTTGCCGGGTCTGTGACATAATGAGTCATCCACTAGGGCCTGATAGACACCCATATGTCCTGTAGCAGGGACTCTTCGATACTGATTGAGTCCTCTATAGCTGGGTCTGTTGGACAGTGAGAGAGACACTGAGTTCTCTAGCAAGGTCTATTAGACGCTTTGTTCTTTAGCAGAGTCTGTTAGACTCTAAGCTCTCTAGCAGGGTCTATTAGACACTATGTTCTCTAGCTGAGCCTGTTAGACTCTAAGCTCTCTAACAGGGTCTATTAAATAACGAGCCCTCTTCTAGGTTCTGCTAGACCCTCATGCGTCCTCCAGCAGGATCTCTTGGATACTGAATGAGTCCTCTTTAGCTGACTCTATTGGACAATGAACCCTCTAGCTGGGGCTATTAGACACTAAGCCCTCTATCAGGGTCTGCTAGATACTAAGCTCTCTAGCAGGATCTATTAGACACTAAGCTCTCTAGCAGGGTCTATTAACTAACGAGACCTCTTCTAGGTTCTGCTAGACCCTCATGCGTCCTCCAGCAGGATCTCTTGGATACTGAATGAGTCCTCTTTAGCTGACTCTATTGGACAAAGAACCCTCTAGCTGGGCCTATTAGACACTAAGCCCTCTATCATGGTCTGCTAGATACTAAGCTCTCTAGCAGGGTCTATTAGACACTAAGCTCTCTAACAGGGTCTATTAACTAATGAAACCTCTACTAGAACCTGCTAGACCCTTACGCGTCCTCCAGCAGGATCTCTTAGATACTGAATGAGTCCTCTTTAGCTGACTCTATTGAACAAAAAGCCCTCTAGCTGGGCCTGTTAGACACTAAGCTCTCTAGCAGGGCCTGTTATACAACCTGTCTTCTATCAGTGCCTGCTAGGCACCGATGCATCCTCCAGCACCCCTAGGACAACCCGCTTCGTCTCCTTCAATCATCCACCATACAGACCCAAAACACTGCACTCGAAAAGCATTTTCCAGCGTCCCCCCACCAAGCGAGCCCTTCTGCCGGCGTGACGTCACTACGACCAATCTCCTCCGTCAGGTGCTGAACCCGCTGGACGCAATATGCAGCCGCGCACGCGAGGACGCGGTCTGTGTGAACCAGCTGAAGAATGCCCGCCAAGTCGACCAAGGAATTCTCCAGCAGCGTCCCGACGTGAAAATATTCTTGCCATTCCGTTTCCTCTTCTACAGACCAGAAGAAGTCTTCCAGCCGCAGACTTATAATCGATTCTTGGGTAAGAACCGGTGATTTCAAAATATCCCGCTCTCTGGCGGCGCGCGAAACCGTATCGCAGACCCAGGCCTCCGCCGAGCTTCGGTTTTTCTCGGCGGCTGACGCAACCGGCGCGCCGGTTCATTATCATCAGGCCCCGACGATATCGGAATCCGATCCCAAGAAACGGCTCGTCTCATTCTCATCGGTACCGCGCCCTTTTATGCTTCGCAGTCGCGCCGACCGGTGACCACGTAATCTCTCTCGTCGATGAAATCTCGTTCACGTTTCCGCCGGCGCCTCCCCTCTCCCAGATCGACGACATACCCCCCGAACAGTTCTGCAACGGGGACAACAGGCCCGCCGACTGCGGCGCCAACTGCATGTGCACCCATCAGGTCGACATCCCGCACAACGCCGTCGTCGAGGTGGTGCTCGTCGACGAAGGTGCGTATGGTTTTTTACAAAATGTATCTTTAGGTTTCGCTTATTTTTTTTTTTAGTTCTCGCGTCGCGATTTGTCGACTATCATTTCTGATCCACAGGATTTTTATGTTTTATTCATAGCTCCTGGAGAACGGTTTTACTTTGGATTTGTAAATCGCGCAGTTTTTTTATTTAATTTTTTTTATTTTATTTCATTTGGTTTTATTTATTTATGCGTATTACTAATATTCTTAGAATTCAGTCTTTTGACAGAACTACAGCGTTTTTTAGGACATTTACTTTGGATTTGTGAATTGTGCACTTCGGTTTTTATTTAAGACTCATTTGTTTATTTATTATTTGACGCATCATTAACATTCTTATGATTGAAACTGCTGACATAACTCTAGCATTTTTTAGGATTTTTACTTTGGACTTGTAAACTGTGCACTTTTTTTTGTTCAAGACACATTCTTTATTTATTTTATTTTACTGTATTTATTTTTATTTATTTATTTACTCTTAGGACTCAGTCTGTTGGTACAACTTCAGTATTTTTTAGGATTTTTTGTTTTGCATTTGTGAATAGTGCACTTCTCTTTTGTTTAAGACTCATTTGCTTATTTATTATTTGACGTATCCTTAACATTTTTATGATTAAAATTGTTGACTTAACTTTAGCATTTTTTAGGATTTCTATTTTGGATTTGTAAATTGTGCTCTTCTTTTTTATTTAAGACTCATTTGTTTATTTATTACTTGACGTATTCTTAACATATTTAGGATTAAATCTGTTGTCGTGACTTTAGCATTTTTTAGAATTCTTGCTTTAGATTTGTAAATTGTGCACTTTTTTCTATTTAAGTCACATTTGTTTATTAATTACTTGACGTATTCTTAACATTTTTAGGATTAAATCTGCTGTCGTAATTTTAGCGTTTCTTAGGATTCTCACTTTAGATTTACAAATTGCGCATTTTTTATATTCAAGACTCCCTTATTTATGCATTATTTATCGAGTTAAGAAACACGATATTTAGACCGTGACTACGTAAACGTGTATTTCCTTCTCGCACAATCTTTCTAATTCGAAAATAGTGTACCGACATTCTTGAATCGTTCGAATCTTTTCCGTGATTGAAATTCCATCCTTGTTTTCCTCGCAAATGCATTCAATCTGCAACTGAATAATAAACGTTTCGCAATGCACTTTAAAAAAAAAGAAAAGATAGCTGCTTCGTATCCGGAGAAATTGAACCACGTTAACGAGGAAGTAACATTTTCACATTTCCATATCTCCCTTTTCTCTGCTTACGTAAAATATATTTTCTAGAAAAAACACGCCACGATCTCTGAAATATCGAAAATAAATATAAAAATCGTTCCTCCGCATCGTCTGTCACGATATGGAAATTCTATCGATCGAAATGCATTCACGACAAGGCGCGGCTCGGGTCAGAAGCGTTTGATCACGATTAATGGTTTTTGCAGTCCAGCAACCGAACCTGTCGCATCCGTTCCACTTGCACGGTTACGCGTTCAACGTGATCGGTATGGGCCGCTCGCCCGACAAGAACGTGAAAAAGATTAATCTGAAGCACGCGCTCGATCTCGACAAGAGGGGTCTTCTCAATCGACAGTTCAATTTGCCGCCCGCCAAGGACACCATCGCCGTTCCAAACAACGGCTACGTAATTTTCCGATTCCGCGCTGACAATCCTGGTAAGCGAACCCGTAGCGTCGGCTAATCTGTTTAGAGAGCAATTTGTACGGCACACGATTTCTCATTCCGCGTGCACGGGGCGATTCCGTCGGTGATTTATCGCGAATTTTCTCCTTAACGGAATTATTGTTAATGGCTTCGTTCGCGAGTTGTCGGCGAGAAACGGCGCCGGTCGATCGGAGTCGGTGGCGCGGCGCTGGCGCCACGCCTACCGCTGACGCTACCGGCGGCCGGGGAGTGGCGTGTTCGCGCGGGGCGTACACCTGCGATCAGCCGCGCGCCTAATCGGTACGCGCTGATTGGTCCAGGTAATTTGTTAATAACTCGTGAACGAAGCGGTTGACAGGATTTTCGCAAAGGAGAAAGTTGCTTCGAATCACTCGAGGAATCTTTTCTTGCCGTTTGTACCTAGATCCGGTACTTGTGTACAAATGTTTATTAACATTCATTTTATTAAAATTAACGAAAATTTTTCGATTTTTAGTCGCTGTTGGAAATGATAAAGTAAGATCGATGTTTCGCATTGTTAGTTCAGATTTTCTCGCGTTTGAAATATCTGCGCGTTGATAACGTTTAATATAGCGTTTAAAATAAATTAAATAATTAAGATAAGTTGAACTCGGTTAAATTGAAATAAATAATTAAATAGTTTAATAGCGATGTTCTACGAAGATCGTCGGTTCACTGGAATTAATATGAGTTTGATATGTTCGATGAAACGGTTTCTGAGAAATATGTCTGCGTTCCAGGATACTGGCTGTTCCATTGCCACTTCCTCTTCCACATACTGATCGGCATGAACCTGATCCTGCACGTCGGGACGCACGCGGACCTGCCGCCGATACCGCCGAACTTCCCGAGATGCGGCGACCATCTACCGCCGATCACACCGCCATCGCTGCTAGACTCGTTTCACTGATCGATCCTGATGGAGCTCAGACATTGAGGCGGTCCAAAGCATACACGATATTCTTAGCGTATTCCTGTAAATTAGTCAGTATGCTGTAGCGAATCATTCCGTGAATATTTTCGCTCCCACCGGGTCGCGTTCGACGAGGAGCGCGGCTCGCTAGTGGAACAGAGTGAGAAAGAGAACGGGAACGAGAGAGAGAATAAATGAAAGGGAGAGAGAGAAAGAGAGAATGATAGTGCGCGAAAGAAAGATGAATAATTGTGGTCCCCGAAAACGAGGTGTAAGGACAACGGATAGTAGAACGAGAAAGCGAGATCAATCAGACAGCCGATATACCGCTTATGGTGCCGCAATAGCGATCGTTCCCGAGACGGTAATCACTCCAAGTTGGCGACAGTCGATAGTTATTACGTCCCAGGTGGCTCCCATCCCAAGTTAAGAACTTGGTACAGCGATGCGGGGCACAATTTACGCGACAAATAACATTCTATTGTCAGTAAACTACATTTTACAGTAATAATTACAACACCGGCGGATAGCTGAGATTCTCCCGATTAAAATGAGTCCAAACACGATGGGAATCGGACCACGGTGAGCTCGTTGCTATGTACCGTGTGGGCGAAACAACTCGATCACTTCGTGTATTTGTCGCACTTCTAATTTCTGTCGAAACAATAGCTGAGATCAAGATCTATCCCGCGACCTACGATTGTTCACCAGAAAATATATTTTGAAATTTGTTGAAGTTTTCGGTAACAGAGTGACACATTCATTTCGTTCGCCCAGTATACTTGAAATCGCTAAGAAACGTCCGATTCCGGTCGTGTTTGGGCTCGTTTCGATCAGAAAAATCTCAGCAATTCGCTGGCGTCGCGATAACAAGTCTTCCATGTAAATTTAACCGTGCACCACTGTATTTCGACACCAGGCAATCGAGACGATCAAGAACAGTAACATCGAGCATGACTGTCGCGCGCGAACGTTAGCCAACATTTGTAACTGTGTAAATAATGTAGAAATAGTCGTTACATTTAATCGAGACAATTATAAATGTTTCGCGGGGGTTTAGAAGTAGAGCGAGAGAGCCGGTCGCTGTTCGAGGAAACCCCGATCCAGGCGATCGCAGTTGCAACGGGTCGCCGGATCGCATCCAGGTTCCTAAAGTGGCTTACGTTCTCGTCCTTGTCTCGGCCTTCTTTTATTTTTATTTTTTTTTATTTTGTTTTCTCCAGCGTAGATCAATTAAGGGTGAACACGTGGCCGGGTCCACCGGCCACGTGGAACGTAGGGAAATCAGATTCGAACAGGACAGAAAACCCGATGAAAACGCAAAAAAATATAAGTAGAGATTAGCTCATGTCGTCTCGTGGCGGACGAAAATAGGTTGGGGCGGGTATTGTGTTTACACGTGTCGCAGCCGCGGCGCATCGGATGAGAGGAAAAAAACAAGAAACGCGTAGCATAATTCTCCATTCGGCGGAATGATTTTCCATTATCCTCGAGCCGATTCACTATTTATTCGCTCGCCATGGATCCCTCGATTATAGCCGCGACAGCAGCTGCGAAACCAGTGAATGCAAACGAGCGCCAACGTCGGGGATCGTTTTCGTTTCGCACGTGATCGTTCCGCAATTACTTTCATACGTAATGCTTCTTCTATTTGCTCCGAGATCGAGGCCCTCAACCGCAACTAACTGTTGAATGCATCGCGGCGGTGCATCGTCGCGCGCTAGGCGCAGCATAGGATGCCTGTGAGTGCACATAGGTCATTCGTACTTGTCATTCGCGCGAGTCGTGTTTGATGGAACATCGGCCGTTCTAGCGTCAAGCAGTTTTTCTGAAATCAACGCCAGCCGTTTGAAAGCAGCCAGCATTCTGATCGTTCCGTAAACGATTCGTTTAGAATGATTAATCTTGACATCGGGGATCTTAAAGTGATTGGCCATGATTTTCGACTTCAGACTTTTCGACGCCGATCACTGGAATCTCTTCGATCTGTCGACGAAAAATCTTTTAGGCGCGACGTCTTTTTAGTTCCGACTTTGGGATGTCAGTTTTTTTGTAGTTCAGAGTTTTGGATGTCTGTCTTTTTATTTCGGAATTTTGGATGTCAGGGTTTTTGCTTCAGACTTTTGGATGTTAGTCTTTCTAGTTCAGACTTTTGGATGTTTAACTTTTTTCATTCAGACTTTTGGATGTCTGACTTTTTAATTCAGACTTTTGAATGTTTAACTTTTTCATTCAGACTTTTGGATGTCTGACTTTTTAATTCAGACTTTTGAATGTTTAACTTTTTCATTCAGACTTTTGGATGTCTGACTTTTTAATTCAGACTTTTGGATGTCAGTCTTTTATTCAGACTTTTGGATGGCAGAATTTATATTTCAAAGTTTTGAATGTCAATCTTTTTACTTCAAACTTTTGGATGTCAGACCTTTACTCAGATTTTTGGATGTCAATCTTTTTACTTCAAACTTTTGGATGTCAATCTTTTTACTTCAAACTTTTGGATGTCAGTACTTTATTCAGACTTTTGGATGTCAGTCTTTTTAGTTCCGACTTTTGGTTCTTTAACTTTTTTCATTCAGACTTTTGGATGTCTGACTTCTTCATTCAGACTTTTGGATGTCTGACTTTTTAATTCAGACTTTGGATGTCAATCTTTTTACTTGAGACTTTTGGATATAACTGTTTTTACTTCAGACTTTTGGATGTCAGACCTTTTATTTCGGAGTTTGGGATGTCTGATTTTTTTATTCAGACTTTTGGATGTCTGACTTTTTAATTCAGACTTGTGTAGTTCAATCTTTTTACTTCAAACTTTTGGATGCTAGTGTCTTTACTTCAAACCTTTGGATGTCACTCTTTTACTTCAGACTTTTGGATGTTAGTCTTTTACTTCAAACTCTTGGTTGTTAGATTTTCACTTCGGACTTTTGGATGTCAATCTTTGGACTGCAGATAGCAATCACTAGATCAGATATCAACCTCTAGATATCAATCATTTGAACAGAAAGTCTTTAAATATCATTCTTCAAACATCGTCTAATTAATGCAGAATCATTTTTTATTAATTCATTGACCTAGAATAATTTTGTACTAAATCATTGACATAGACTGACTCATCCATAAATATAATCATGATTCTTCAAATGATTGATCGACAATGAATCCTCCGTAAATCATAAATCTAAATCTGATCGATCTAAATTTTATTCCGCTATAAATCATTGATCTTCGTTGCGAATAGCATCGAACATTGCAACGTTCTCTTGTTAATTAATTTATTTGCTCAGTTTTTTTCATAACGATCTATAGACGTACTTTTTTCTTATTCATTTTCTTTTTATTAACGTATTCGAAAAGAACGGTTCGAAGAGGATCCTTTATGGATGCTGAAACCGCGGCCGTTGCATCGCCGCTCGATTCTTCTGCGTTTCTGGAACTCGAGCGTCGAAAAACCCTCTTTTGTATACTTTATTTATGCGACGGAACGGCGCGCCGCGCCGCGCAGGCGCGCGTCGCAAGTTTATGGTGCACATAGAGATGAGTTTTCGTGTTTTTGTACAGGTAGTATTTAAGCGAGCATACTCGCGTATACTCCGTTATCAGATAAAGATGTACATTTAATAATAAATTTGTTTTTAAAAGCTCGCCGCATTTATTGTCCCTACCGAACCATTTTAATAGAATGATAAAATGGTAAAATGATAAAATGCTAAAATGCTAAAATGCTAAAATGCTAAAATGCTAAAATGCTAAAATGCTAAAATGATAAAGTGATAAAATGATAAAATGATAAAATGATAAAATAATAAAATGATAAAATAGTAACATAATAAAATAAGAAAATAATAAAATGATAAAATAGTAAAATAAGAAAATAAGAAAATAATAAAATCATAAAATAGTAAAATAAGAAAATAATAAAGTGATAAAATAGTAAAATAAGAAAATAAGAAAATAACAAAATAATAAAATGATAAAATAAGAAAATAACAAAATAACAAAATAATAAAATAATAAAATATAAAATATTATAATAATAAAATATAATAATAAGCTCGCCAAAATCATCGAGCTATCGCCGAATAAAATAAGAAGCGACTTCGCAGTAAAGGCAGGAAAATATTCAAGAGATGCACGCGGTTGCTCCGATCAATTTTCGAGAGCATGAGAAGCGGCTCGATCCGACCGCCACTTATCCTAATTAGTTTCCGCGATCGCGCGTCGGTAAGACGCCGCGACCCAGCTTTCCCAAAATCCCGGTACGACGCGGGAAACTGCTCTTCTTCATTAACGTTAACGAATCCGCTCTCGGTTATACGCGGTTGCAAAACGGCAAAGCTCGTTCAATTAGGCACCGAAGAATACGGTTAGCCCGGACGTGTGCCGTTCGTTCCCAGTAATTAACGGGGCTGAGAGAGTGAAAGGACGCGTTAAAATTTCGATCCTGCAACACGTGACGCACCACATTCGCCGAATTGAATATTAATCGGCAACGTTTCGGGCGAAAGTTTCCGCCGCCGGCGGACAAAGAGCAAAAGCGAGCTCGCGGACGAACGAACAACAAATCGTCGTCGTGGACGCGAGCACTGATTAATCGCTGCCAGACATTGCTGCCTCGACCTTGACAATTGCACCGTGCGACGCTAATTGTCGCCTCGCGTGACCAGACATCGTCGACGATGTCTGGTTTCTATATTATATATAGAATACTACGAGATGACATTAAAATAACTCGGTGAGAATATTTAACGAACGCAAAAATAGTGGTGCATTATTAGTAACATATTGAAACGATCAAGAAATAATTATAATAATATGTTATTAATAATATATTGTATAATATATATTATATGATATGTGTATTATTATATTATTTAATATATATTGTACAATATATAATATTATTTAATATGTAATATTATATAATATATTATTATATTATATAATATGTGTAATATAATACAACAAAATAATATGATATATATAATATATAAAATATTATATAATGTACAAGATATAATATTTAATATTTAATATGTAATATTATATAATATATTATTATATTATAATATATAATATGTGTAACATAATACAATAAAATAATATAATATATATAATATATAAAATATTATATATTGTACAAGATATAATATATAATATTCAATATATATAAAATTATATAATATATTATTATAGTAAGAAATATTTATAATGAATTCACGAAAATATAAATTAAATTAATTATCTATCTATATATATATATATATATTTCCCAGTCGTTTCACACCGAGCTGAAAATAATGCAACAACGTTTTCGTTGGACAGTTTTGTTCGTCGAATATTTTCATTGCTTCGGATCCGACGTGGACATTTTTCTTACATTATACACAATTTCCGTGCTCGAAATAGTATGAAATAAAAGGATAAGTGAAATAAAGATGAGATGAAACGAGAAGTCGGTTTTCAGGGAGGTAGCACAGTAAAGACTCGACAGGTGTCCTTAAACGTTCAATGTATTTGTAGCAATGTAATCGCGACTCGTTGAACATGGAATGTGTCATTGAGCATGTCGAATATAAGATATATAAAATATCGTGTCAAGAACGGAAAACGAAGGATCGCCTGCACCGTCGCGTCGATCGTCGCAACGATCCCGTTTCACGCGTCGATTTCGACGACGGAAGACAACGAAACGGTCCCCGCGACGGATGAAATCCCGATTAATGAATTTATGTACAAAAGCGTTTCGCCTAATTCCACTGAATTAAGTACGATACTGCGCGACGCGGTAAATGCTAAGTACCTACATTTATGACTATCATATGATACATACACGATCTAGCAGAGAAACCCTTCCACCCGACCAATGGCAGATCGATTAGGATTTATTTTCAGAATACAACTTCGTACGTCGTGAGAATATTTGCCCTTTCGAATTCGAACGGATTGAAACGGTCGAGAGACGTGCCGGGGGCGGGTAGAAGGTGGAGATAATTATAATGATGGTTGAACATTAGTACAAAAATACTCTTCAAGGCAGGAATTGTTTAACCTTTTTTTGTGTACGTAATATATTAGTAGTAACAATTAAGGACACACGGAGTTACGAGGATCAATCCTTAAAGGTCGAACGAAGCTTCGAGGCGGTGGTTCCGAGTCTCGAAACCGTGGCTAAAACGTTTGTTTAGGTTGCCTCGAAATTATGGTTCCTCCGGGAAATGGAAGATTCCTGAGGTCATTTCGAACAACTTTTTCCTTTACAGAAATTTTCTCCGAGGTACCGTTTGCGAGTTATTAACGAAAATCGCTGACCAATGAGTGGCGACCTCGGGCGGCGCGAGGCGGCGCGAAGCGGCCGAGCCAATCAGCGGAACTGGTCTTCGTCCGCTCGGCCGCCGCGCGCCAGCCGACTTGGCCTCCCATTGGCCAGCGTTTTTCGTTAATAACTCGTGAACGGGGCCTCGGAGAAAATTTTTGCAAAGGAAAAAGTTGCTCCAAATGACCTCAGGAACCTCTCATTTGACCTCGGAAGTAACATAATTTTGGATCACCCTGTATACCTTACATTTACTTGTTCACGTCCGATAATTAACAATTTTTATCGCATTAGTACTAAAAAAACGTTCGACTTACTTCTACGAACAGCACGCGTGCCGTAGCAGCCATTTTGCTATCGAGAGTTTCATTTTGGCCAACTTTTTCAAAAAAAGCTGCGCAATGATCCTGTGTCTCAAAACATTGTCCAAAATAACTTCGTACAATTTTCATGGATATCTTTATTCTCGTCGATTCGAGGCCGCTTATTTTGATCATGTTCGAGCCTATGTCTAAACAATATTTCTCGTAGAAATCAATGATCGTCGCAATTAAAATTAATATTAACAATAACGAAAGTTGCATTTCGGCCAGCTGTTTGCGAGAAGCAGCCACCGTGCACCGTTGTTCGTTAAGCAAATCGTTCGGTGGCTCGTGATCGGTCCACGGTTCACGTTCGAACAACAGCGAGTTCGTGCCTCGACGCCCGTTACAAGCGCTGTTAAAACGGCGAATTGCTATTTCAGATCGTTCAATCGAATTCTTCTGATCGGTCGTCGAATGATTTTCGTTAGGGTACCCGGCGCTTTATTTGCCGGAATAATGGGACCCGATGTTCGACGGCGGCCCTCTGTGATGGTGGTGATGCTTCTGACCCGGCCCGGAGTATCTGCTTCCCGGCCGCGAGTGAACTATGGCGTAGTGGTCGCTGTTCGTCGATATCGACCTCGTCGAGTTCATCGTCGATCCTCCGGAAGCGTAGCCTTGCTTCCCGTTCAGGGAGTACCTGCGAAGAATCCGGAGAATTGTACCATCGATTTTTATTTGAAGTTTTGTTATTTCATTAGGCTCGCGTTGTAAATGATTTTCATGCTACCGCTGCAATTGTGGCACCAGTGGATAGCTGATATTTTTCCGATTGAAACGAGTCCAAACATGATGGAAATCGGTTCAGTTTAAGCCGTTCGCTATATACCGGGTGAACGAAACAACGCGATCGAAATTTTTTACTTTATTTCGGTAATACGCAGAAATCTCGGCGAGAGATATTTTTCAAAATGGGCGAATGTTATGATAAACAGAGAAATTTTCTCTGGTCGCACTTATCGCGATTTCAATTCAGCAGTATTTTTCCTTCAATGCGAACTTTTATCATTATTACGTAAGAATCGAGGTCAACTATCCGACGATGCTTAATTAGTGACCAAAAGTATCGTGCATCGACATTTGTTCACGAAATATCAAATAACAGCTGATCCACCGAAAGCGATCAGTTAGTTTTGTCCACCCCGTACATGATAGATCAATTGTTTCCGTAGAACGGCTAAAATTCATCGGATCCGGGTCGTGTTTGTACTCATTTTAATCGGGAGGATCTCGGCAATCCGTTGCCGTTGGAATCGCGAACGTAGAACGACAATTTTGCGAACGAAATTCCCTGAATCGCGCGCGTTTATAGTTCTAAGCAGATCACGAGCCGCGTTCGAACGCGCAGGCCAGGTTCCACCAATTAAACCGCGTGCCACAGTAATTAGTCTCTCCGTGGAAGGTGCGCTCCTTGGGAAAAATGCATAATGAATCCGTCACCTGTTCCCGGGGCAGAAATAAATCGAAGGGATAGTTAGCCGAGCGAAAAAGAAGAGAGGTGCGGAATCAAACCTCGAGCCATATTGGGAGCCGTGCCAGCTGCGATAGGGATCGTAATCTTCGATGATCGATGGTTCTTTCTCGATGATGTCGGTCCTGGTGCAACTGCAGGTCATCGCGGAGCAGAGGAATATGTTGATAATGAGCATAATGAGGAACAGAATGCCAAGAGCTACGGCCAGCCATAGCAGCCATAATGGGTGGACGCTGCCGTCCTCGTACAGAGTTTGTACAGCTATTAAACAAGATATATCGACATTGAAACCCATTAAGAGTTTATTTCCAGACAAAGGTTCATCGGGAGCGGGCTAATTAATTAATCGTCCCGGGAAAAGTTCGCCGATAATTTTAGTTACGGTATCGCCTGCGCGCACGCGCGCGCGCGCGGCCGGAGACTCGGCGCGCAAACACACACACAGAGAGAGAGAGAGAGGTGACCGCGTGCGTGCAGGCACAAGGGGACTATGAAAAGTAGTCGTTGGAATATTTACATGGCGTTTGACCAGGGTCAAGAACGAACACGCTCGTGCCCGCAAGAAGCACTCCTTCCTCGCCGCTCACGCTCTGCCCATTAATTAAAGACGCTCCCTTTATTTCTTCCTCGTTATCGCCTTCGCAAATAGGGATACCGCAGCTTCCTGGAGGAAAGAAGATTAAACGCTTTTACGTTCCGCCGGTTATCCGCGGCCGGGCCCCCGCGATTTAGGGCCTTTTCCGCGCGACGATATCGTCGCGACACTCGTATCGCGGACACCGATTTTATACCGGCTGACGCGGATATATTGTAAGCACTTGGAACCGCAGATAACGCTAACATCATTTCAAGCAAGTTTTCCCTCGGGGATAATGTTCTTCGTGGCCTCGTTGTCGAGATATTAGCGATAGACGGGAGGAATATTAATCATATTCTAACGGACGAAAGATTGAGACGAGAAGAAAGGAGATGAGAGAAATTGGTTGAATGTAATGTGACGTCTCGAGCATCGAAATCCGTCAGAAGATGATGTTTTTTTGGAGGTAAGGTCTTGGGACATCGGTGGTTTGGATACACTGTCTTTTGGATGTAAGGCTTTTTTACTTCAGTCTTTCAGATGTCAGACTTTGGGCTGCTGTCTACTCGATGGAAAGTCGTCAGACATCCGTGCTTTGGACATACTGCCTTTAGACATCAGTGTTTTGGATATAAGCTCCTTTTACTTCAGTCTTTTGGATGTCAGACTTTGGATATCAGACTTTTCGATTTCAGACGTTTGACTCCAGACTCTTGGACGTCGATCTTTGGACTTCAGTGTTTGGGACACAATGTCTTTTTGCTTCAGATTTTTGGATATCAATCTTTGGATATTAGCCTTTTGGATGTCAGACTCTATAGTGCAGTTAGTCAGACGCAAAGTCTTCAGGCATCGATGGTTTCGGCACAAAGTCATCAGATATTAATCTTTTGGATGTCTGCTTTTGGACTTCAGACGTTTGGATGCCAGTCTTCGGGACATCAATCAGTGGACTTCAATGTTTTGGATATCATGTCTTTGTAGTTCAGACTTTTGTATAACGGGCTTTGTGTGACTGTCCTTTGGATGGCAGTCCTTTGGATGTCAGTCTTTTTCATGTCAGTCTTTGAACGTAACTCATTTGGATGTCAGTCTTTGGAAAGTAGTCTTTCGGATCTCAGTCCTTTGGATGCCAGTCTTTGGACACCAGACTTTTGGATTCCAGTCCTTGGACGACAGTCCTTTGGATTGTCAGTCTTTGGATACCAGTCTTTTGGATGCCAGTTCTTGGACATGACTTATTCGGATGTCAGTCTTTGAATACTAGTCTTTTGGATGTCAGTCTTTGGACACCAGTCTTTTAGATTCCAGTCCTTGGACGTCAGTCTCTTGGATGCCAGTCTTTGGACAACAGTCTTTTGTATTCTAGTCCTTGGACGTCAGTCCTTTGGATGCCAGTCTTTGGACACCAGTTTTTTACATGTCGGTCCTTGGACGTCACTCATTTGGGTGTCAGTCTCTGGACACTAATCTTTTGGATGTCAGTCCTTTGTATGTCAGTCTTTGGACGACAGTTCTTTGAATATCAATCTTTGGACACTAGTCATTTGGATATCAGTCTTTGTACTTCAATCTTTTGGATTCGTGTCTTTTCCAGCTCTTTTGGATTCCAGTCCTTGGACGTCAGTTCTTTGGATATCAGTCTTTGGACACCAGTCTTTGGATATCAGTCTTTGGACACCAGTCTTTTATATATCAGTCTTTGGGCCTCACCTATTTGGATATCAGTCTTTGGAGACTAGGCGTTTGGATGTCAGTCTTTGGACATTAACCTTTTGGATGTCAGTGTTCGTACTTCAAACTTTTGGATTCGTGTCTTCCCGAGCCTCTTCTATTTTTGTCTTTTGGATATCAATGTGTGAACTGCAGTCATTTGGACATAGTCTTTTTTCTGCAGTCTTTGGGATGTCAATCTTTAGGCTTCGGTCTTTGGATTGCCAGTCTTTTAGACTTCACAGTTGTTTAGACTTCAGTCATTTAGACTTCAGTCTTTTAGACTTCAGTCTTTTAGACTTTTATAAACAAACAATTTCCAAACTTCAGCCTACGAACCAAAGACCACCTTTTCCATCACGTTACACCGAAAACTACGTTCGGTATACAAATAAACTGCCCACACAAAAAACTACATAAAACCAATCTCTACTCTTCACCTGTTACCGTGCGAAAGTGTTCCCGCCGTTCGATCCCCGGAAAACGCGAGAATCCGGCGCGCGAGAAGCGGCCGGAAAAAAAGAACGATCGGCGAAAGACAATCGCGGATCGAATCCGATAACGGGGGCCCCGCTTCCGAGGGAATATGTTAATCGTCGCCCGCGCGGAGTTGAACGGCACGGCGTGACCCAGATACGGGACGCGGCCGCCGACGAATCGGTCAACGGATCTGTTTACCTCGGCACACAGCGATGTCGCATTGGAAATGCACTTGCGGGCTGTCAGGAAACCGGAACATCGAGAACAATGTCGCATCCGCCAGACCCGTGTTCCGATCGTAGATGAATTTCGTCATCACCCGAGCCTTCACGGGACACCTTTGTGGCCATAGAACAGAAAACGGTTGCGCAACGCCATCGATTACCATCGCGTGCGTCTCGATTCACGCGGAAATCGGTATTATTAGAACCGTGAACATGTTTGTGTTCATCGGGGAACGAGAATGTTACGCGGTGTCGTATTAATACGAATTCTCCGATTTCCAATAGGTATCCAACGAATGCCGCGTTCGAGACGCTAAAGTTACTATCATAATAATTATTATTATATTCTCTATTATGTTATATTATTAAATTGTATACTAAATTTTCTGTTATATTATATTATTAAATTTTATATTGTATTATATTAATATTATATATTATTATATTATAGTAATATTATATATATTACTATATTATATTAATATTATATTATTATATTATATTTTATATTGCATTACATTATTGAATCTTGTATGATATTTTCTATTATATTATATTAATATTATGTTATAATATTATATTATAATAATATTATATTACTAATTTTTATTTAACAATATATTTATCAAAAGAGTTAAAATACATGTTTTAATGAAATTATTAATTAAAATTATTTTACATATTCTATGTTTTTTTGCTATAATTATCAATATGCTATAATTATCGCAAAATTAATTTGGTAAATTGTATAATAAAAAGTATTGGTAGAAATAGTGGTAACTCTTTCGCGACTAAGGAATTTTTGAACGTGCAAGAGAGGCGATATAAAAATGTTTGGATTAGGTCTGGGTTAGGTTTTGGTTAGGTCTAAGATAGGTCTTGATTAGGTCTGGGTTATGTCTGAATTAGGTCTTGATTAGGTCTAGGTTAGTTCTGAGTTAGGTCTGGAATAGGTCTGGGTTAGGTCTGAGTTAGGTCTGGGTTAGGTCTGGGTTAGGTCTGGATTAGGTTGAAGTTGTGCTTCTCTTGAAAAATTAAGGAAAAAAGGTCGTACACGTTGACAATGGTCGACGATAAAGATTGTCTGTCCATCGTCAAAGTGATTGTTCACTTCGGAAAATCGTCAAAGAGGTTGGGGGTATCGAAAATTTGCGACCTACCCCTTGTCGTCGATCAGCTGTACGCTGTTGTTCCGTTTGTTGAACGCGAAGCAGGACTTCACCTTGATCCCGTACATACCTGTGAACCGAGGGATTGATGAAAGTGCGTCAGACAAAACGGGCGGCAAACACGGCCGGCCGTGCTCGTTAATTCCAATTAAATGCAAGGGTGAAAATGGGAAGTGAGAGATGCCGTGGCGTACGAACCATCTGGCCGCGAGATCTCCGCACGCAAAGTGTAGTTGTGACCATAAATAGCCTCCTGCACTTTGTGCCCCCCGTCCAAAAGCCGCAGCGACACTAACGAAGTCTCGTTCCTGCAAACAGATAGAAGAGGATCCGTGACGCGCGAAAATTATGCAGGATCGCGCGGTGCCCGCGCGCCGTCGAATCGCGGTAGCCGCGCGGATAAGAGCCCCGCGATTCCAAGAGATACGAGCCGATATTAATAAAGGTTGCGTTGCCTACTTCGCGTTTTTGAATCCCGCCTTTCCGCACGTAATAACGTAGAATTTATCGTCCGCCAGCTCCAGGGTCTTATGGATCCGCACCGCGATGGGGATCGAGCGCTCCTCGTTGTCCTGCAAGAATTACAACGGGATTAGGGCGATCTGTTTTACATACGATGCGGAAGGATTTGCGGACACTTGGAAATGCGCCGGGACTTCCGTGATTGGATGCGGTTGAGCAGCTAGTTTTTATTCTCGAGAACGAGATCGCAGATTGTTCACAATGTGGCAAATGAACTCGAGGATAGCTGATAAAGTGGTGAACAAAGTAGCAGACATTTCACAAAGTGACAAACTCGCAGGCAGATTTACATAGCAGCAAAGAAACTAGTGAACAATGTAGCAAATATTTCACAAAGTGGCAAACAAACTCGCAGGCAGATTTACAAAGCAGATAATAAACTGGTGAGCAAAGTTGCAAATATTTCACAAGGTGGCAAACATACTCGCAGGCAGATTCGCGCAGTAGCTAATAAACTCGTGAACAAAGTAGCAGACATTTCATAAAGTAGCGAACAAACTCGCAGAGAGATTCACAAAGCAGCTAATTAACTCGCGAACAAAGTTGTACAATTTTCACAAAGTAGCAAACAAACTTGCGGGCAGATACGCAAACCTGATATACTCGTGAACAAAGTTGCAAACAAACTCGCGAATAGATTCACAAAGCAGCTAATAAATTCGCGAACAAAGTCGTAAAAAGTTCACAAAGTAGAAAACTTTTCACAAAATACCAAACAAACTCGCGGACAGATTCACAAACCAGACATACTCGTGAACAAAGTTGCAAACAAACTCACGAATAGATTCACAAAGCAGCTAATAAATTCGCGAACGAAGTTGTAAAGAGTTCACAAAGTAGAAAACTTTTCACAAAATACCAAACTAACTCGCGGACAGATTCACAAACCAGACATAATCGTGAACAAAGTTGCAAACAAACTCACGAATAGATTCACAAGCAACTAATAAACTCGCAAACAAAGTTGTAAAAAGTTCACAAAGTTGCAAACTTCGCACAATGTTGCCATTTTCACAAAGTAGCAAACAAACTCGCAGACAAATTCACAAAGCAGATAAACTCGTGGACAAAGTTCCAAACAAACTCGCGAATAGATTCACAAAGCAGCAAATGAACTCATGAACATAGTTGCAAACTTTTCACAAAGTAGCAAACAAACTCGCGAACGTATTCACAAAGCAGCTTTCAAAGTAAATTTGTTTGACACGCCAAACAAACTCACAATCTCGCAAACAAATTCACAAACAATCAAACTCGCAAACATACGCGCAAACATAGTTGTCAGAAAACATGCAATCTCGTCAACTAGGCAGCGAATTAATTTCGAATGAATTCAAAATCGGAGGGTTAGTCCGAGGTTAGGTCACGATTAGGTCAAAGTTAGGCCTGAATTATCCACAATGCTGCAAGATAGAGAGGGTTCGTCCGATATTTCGTATGGAAAGATGGGAATCGAACGTCCGTAGTTTTGATTGGAATGCAATTTTCATCGGCATCGCCGGCGCTTACGTTATTCACCAAGACGCCGCAGTAATCCGGGGATCCTTTGGGTGCTAGAAGATTAATAGCGAGGGTGGCGTGGTTCGTGCCGTTTCCAGGCGCCATGCACTGCGGCGTCCGAAAATCTCGAGCGTGCACTGCGCCGACGAAACTCTGATTCAGGTTCACTCGTATCGTCATGTGGCCGGCTTTGCATGTTGCCGTGACCGTCGGCTGGAACTCGGTGTCCACTAATTGGCCGGTGACCTGCGACGGAACAAAAACACCCGATACAATTCTTCGAATCCACTCTGCGGCCGGTGATCGCGCTTTTCACGTTATCGGACAGCCATGAAAATGATCATCCAATTCCGGAATTCGGTCGCGGTTCGAAACAATGGACTGAACAATGGAAATCAGTGCACGTTCCGAGAACAATGCTTTGCTAATTACAACACTGAGATTTCAGTTTAAAGGCTATGGAAGTTGTAAAAATTTAACGATTATGGCCCTGTTCTACTTCCGATATTTTTTTTTTATTTTTTTGTGTTCAGGTGCGGCATAATTGGCGTAGATTTATTATAGTTTTCTTTTATTGACTTATGTTCTTGATGTTTCGTCAGTAGAAATGTGGTTACAATGATAACATAAATGAAAAGTTGTGCTCCATTGAAAACATAGACAGTATGTTATTGTTAGATTATTTCGTAATATTGTATACAATATATTATAGTATGCAAGATATAATATTGTATACATTATATTACAGCATGTAAGATATAATATTGTATACAATATATTATAGCATGTAAGATATAATAGTGTATACGATATATTATAGCATGTAAGATATAATAGTGTATACGATATATTATAGCATGTAAGATATAATAGTGTATACGATATATTATAGCATGTAAGATATAATAGTGTATACGATATATTATAGCATGTAAGATATAATAGTGTATACGATATATTATAGCATGTAAGATATAATAGTGTATACGATATATTATAGCATGTAAGATATAATAGTGTATACGATATATTATAGCATGTAAGATATAATAGTGTATACGATATATTATAGCATGTAAGATATAATAGTGTATACGATATATTATAGCATGTAAGATATAATAGTGTATACGATATATTATAGCATGTAAGATATAATAGTGTATACGATATATTATAGCATGTAAGATATAATAGTGTATACGATATATTATAGCATGTAAGATATAATAGTGTATACGATATATTATAGCATGTAAGATATAATAGTGTATACGATATATTATAGCATGTAAGATATAATAGTGTATACGATATATTATAGCATGTAAGATATAATAGTGTATACGATATATTATAGCATGTAAGATATAATAGTGTATACGATATATTATAGCATGTAAGATATAATAGTGTATACGATATATTATAGCATGTAAGATATAATAGTGTATACGATATATTATAGCATGTAAGATATAATAGTGTATACGATATATTATAGCATGTAAGATATAATAGTGTATACGATATATTATAGCATGTAAGATATAATAGTGTATACGATATATTATAGCATGTAAGATATAATAGTGTATACGATATATTATAGCATGTAAGATATAATAGTGTATACGATATATTATAGCATGTAAGATATAATAGTGTATACGATATATTATAGCATGTAAGATATAATAGTGTATACGATATATTATAGCATGTAAGATATAATAGTGTATACGATATATTATAGCATGTAAGATATAATAGTGTATACGATATATTATAGCATGTAAGATATAATAGTGTATACGATATATTATAGCATGTAAGATATAATAGTGTATACGATATATTATAGCATGTAAGATATAATAGTGTATACGATATATTATAGCATGTAAGATATAATAGTGTATACGATATATTATAGCATGTAAGATATAATAGTGTATACGATATATTATAGCATGTAAGATATAATAGTGTATACGATATATTATAGCATGTAAGATATAATAGTGTATACGATATATTATAGCATGTAAGATATAATAGTGTATACGATATATTATAGCATGTAAGATATAATAGTGTATACGATATATTATAGCATGTAAGATATAATAGTGTATACGATATATTATAGCATGTAAGATATAATAGTGTATACGATATATTATAGCATGTAAGATATAATAGTGTATACGATATATTATAGCATGTAAGATATAATAGTGTATACGATATATTATAGCATGTAAGATATAATAGTGTATACGATATATTATAGCATGTAAGATATAATAGTGTATACGATATATTATAGCATGTAAGATATAATAGTGTATACGATATATTATAGCATGTAAGATATAATAGTGTATACGATATATTATAGCATGTAAGATATAATAGTGTATACGATATATTATAGCATGTAAGATATAATAGTGTATACGATATATTATAGCATGTAAGATATAATAGTGTATACGATATATTATAGCATGTAAGATATAATAGTGTATACGATATATTATAGCATGTAAGATATAATAGTGTATACGATATATTATAGCATGTAAGATATAATAGTGTATACGATATATTATAGCATGTAAGATATAATAGTGTATACGATATATTATAGCATGTAAGATATAATAGTGTATACGATATATTATAGCATGTAAGATATAATAGTGTATACGATATATTATAGCATGTAAGATATAATAGTGTATACGATATATTATAGCATGTAAGATATAATAGTGTATACGATATATTATAGCATGTAAGATATAATAGTGTATACGATATATTATAGCATGTAAGATATAATAGTGTATACGATATATTATAGCATGTAAGATATAATAGTGTATACGATATATTATAGCATGTAAGATATAATAGTGTATACGATATATTATAGCATGTAAGATATAATAGTGTATACGATATATTATAGCATGTAAGATATAATAGTGTATACGATATATTATAGCATGTAAGATATAATAGTGTATACGATATATTATAGCATGTAAGATATAATAGTGTATACGATATATTATAGCATGTAAGATATAATAGTGTATACGATATATTATAGCATGTAAGATATAATAGTGTATACGATATATTATAGCATGTAAGATATAATAGTGTATACGATATATTATAGCATGTAAGATATAATAGTGTATACGATATATTATAGCATGTAAGATATAATAGTGTATACGATATATTATAGCATGTAAGATATAATAGTGTATACGATATATTATAGCATGTAAGATATAATAGTGTATACGATATATTATAGCATGTAAGATATAATAGTGTATACGATATATTATAGCATGTAAGATATAATAGTGTATACGATATATTATAGCATGTAAGATATAATAGTGTATACGATATATTATAGCATGTAAGATATAATAGTGTATACGATATATTATAGCATGTAAGATATAATAGTGTATACGATATATTATAGCATGTAAGATATAATAGAGATGTGTATAAGAGACAGATTGTATACAATATTTTACTGTATATTACAGGTAATATTGTATACAGTGTATTATAATATGTAACACACAGTATTGTATGCAATATATTATAACATATGAGATATAATATTGTACACATTATATCATTCTATATTATAGCATATAAGATATAATATTGTATACATTATATTATTGTATATTATAAATAATATTTCATAAAATATTAACATTTATATTATTATTGTAACATATAATATTTTATACAATATATCAAATCATGTAGGATATAATATTGTATACAGTATATTATTATATATTACAAATAATATTATATACAATATATTATAGCATAGAGCATATAATATTGCACAGAATATCCTATTCGAAATATAATTTATAACATTGTTAGTCTATCGGTCCAATTCCAAATAAACAATTCATTCCATTCTATTCTCAACTAGCATCTGCAATAACGAACTGATAAAAAAACTGAGCTCCCACGATAAAATGAATCATAAATTAAATTTTAGGGTCACTCCTGACCCCGGAGTATCCATTAAAGCTCGAACGAACGATCCGTTTCACTGCAATTTTTTAGCTTCCACCGCGTGACTAATGTACTAGGGCTCGTAATTTTCCGGCGAGTACAATAAAGGTGAAGAAATTCCTTGACGACACGTTGATTCACCGTGGCTATTGTTAATTAGACGGGCCCCACGCTCGCGCTGGAATCGCGATCGCGGCCGACCTTCTCGGTGTGTCGAAAGCGAGCCTTGTAAATCGAGCGCAGAACCGACCGATTCGTCCAAACGAATTTCTGTTTTAAAATCAATATTTGCCGAGTTAACGAAGTGGTGCGGCGCGGCGCGGTCGTCGCTCTCTCTCTCTCTCTCCATCTCTCTCCATCTCTCTCTCTCTCTCTCTCTCTCTCTCTCTTTCTCCCTCTTATTCTCTCTACGTTTCAATTAATAGGCGGGCACATGATCGCACGTTACCGCCGCGCATAAGAACGACATCCTATCTGATAACGCGCGCGGAGAATCAATCATGTGTGTCTGGAGAGTTTAATATTCGATTTCAGTGTCAGATGGATATCCTTACATGAAAGTGTAACTACCTTGTATACTGTTTCACCGCGATCCGCGAACGATACGCGTTGTACGATGAATCGTCGCGGGGAATCATGGGAACGAGACGGTGAAAATAGATCGACGCGATTAATATTAACGCGATCCGCTGATTAGACCGACCCGGTCTGTTTAATTGCGACCGGGTAATTGCTTCTTTTCACTAAAATCAGAGCTTCGTCATTAGTCTCCAACTGGATATTCACTTTTAATTTCTGCGATCGGAGGGAGATCATTGAATTCCGTTCGCACGGTGATTAAATAATTTAGTAATTTTTAGTTTAATTTTTGGGTGACGATATTGGGTAGCATGTAAAATATTATATATTAAATATTATAATTATTATTGTATACAATATATTATATGTATAATATGAAAGAATATTGTATACTATATTTAATATTGTATTCAGTATCATAAATTTTCATACAATATACAATAACGTATAATAATATACAATATTAATACAATATTATATATTCTATACAATATTAAATCTTATATATAATACTATAACATATATTAAAATATTCTATGCAAAATTA